ATTTCTGTCATACATTTAAAATTGCTCTCTATAATAATGTCATGCACGATATGGAATGTAGATCCCTTAAACCAGGGTACCTTTTAATGATGGTGGAAGTAACTGTTTAAAACAGTTGGTGGATCTTTGGTGTTTAAATCCTAATTCTTAAGTGCCAGCTCCTAGCAGGTACACATATGTTCCATTGATTGATGGATTGATCAGTTGATTGATTGGAATGGAAGTGGTATATCTACAAAGCAGAGACTGGGGCAAGATTCATTTTTCAATCATTAAAGAAGCTAGTTTCACTCTTAGTGTAGTCTATTTTATTTTGTTCGGTTTGTATTTTGGCATTTATCACATGGCCAAAATATTGCTAGATCTGTTTTTTTCTCATACTTTTGAGCTTGCCCGATTTCATAAATGAGGCTCAAGAAACTTCATGCATTCAAGGAAATGAAACATTTGTCAAGGTTTAGCCTAACCATTTAGCAGTCAATTAACACTGCTGCAGTTTCTCTTGTCTATATACATAGAATTTTTGAATAAAGCATGTTGCATTCCCCTGCATTACTCTCTCCCTTGCAGGAGCTTCAGAGAGACATAGAGAAGCACAGTACAGGTGTCGCCTCTGTCCTCAACCTGTGCGAAGTCCTGCTGCACGACTGTGACGCTTGTGCCACGGACGCCGAGTGTGACTCCATCCAGCAGGCTACGAGAAACCTGGACCGGCGGTGGAGAAATATCTGTGCTATGTCCATGGAAAGGAGGCTCAAGTAAGCTGAGATGTTCAAACAGCTAGGGAAGAAGAAAGACCAAAAAGAAAAAGAAAAAAATTAGCCAGAATATTCATTGTTCACTATTTCCTTTTGGTCACAATGTCCAAAAATAGCCTTGGCTTCCCAAACTTGCTGTCATCATTTCTTAGTTGGGCAAATAAGTAGGTGTAAAGGTAATAAATATAACAAGCCAAGTTAAGTTTTACCTAGCAGTTTAAATATAGTACAGAAAACTAAAAATATGTCTTTGCCAAACCTGTATAGCATTACAGCATTTGTGGCTGTGAAAAAGTACTATTCTTTTTATTAAAAATTAAATAATAAAAAGAATCATGCTATTTAAAACTATTGAGATTTTAGATGGCAAAAAAATATGTATTACAAAATTATCTAATGACTTAAAACACAAAATCAATGTGCTCCTGGTGAACTGAAGGCTTAATATTTGTGTTGCTATCATAGGTTGACTTTTTTTAGGGTGATTTTGACATTGGACTTAAATGGATTTTCCAACCTGATTTTTATTTTAGTGGAACAGTGGCCTGAGTGTACACTGTAAAAATGTTGTTGCATTTCTAAACTTCCTCGCACACATGCTGGACAGCTCGCATTATGTGTTTATGATATTCAATTTGCCTAATTCCAAAACCAGAGCTGCAAGACATTAAAAAAAAAAAAAAGCAGCTGTTTTATTTTAGCTCTAACAGTTGTCTCTTTTTCTCTGTGGTCAAATTTGGCTCAAGGCACAGTGATTGTGTGGCACAACAGTTGCTTGTTTGGACCCCTTAATCCTGTTGCAGGCATCCAACAGGGTTCTGGAGTGTAAATGGTCCCAAATAATTTTCTGTCCTCTCATTTTCTGTCTCAGAATCGAAGAGACGTGGCGATTGTGGCAGAAGTTTCTGGATGACTATTCTCGTTTTGAAGATTGGCTGAAGATTTCAGAAAGGACAGCTGCTTTCCCCAGCTCTTCCGGGGTGCTCTATACGGTTGCCAAGGAAGAACTAAAGAAATTTGAGGTGATTTATAATTCCAAATACTTAATCCTTATTTTTCTATTAAAGCAGCAGCTGGTAGGTGGTGTTCCAAGACATTAACTAACATTCACCCACACATTATGTGCTCCAGCGGCTGGGTGATGACTTTGTAGTCACCTTTATTATTACCTAGTAAGTATACAAAAAAGGGAAAAGGACGTTTTTATTTTAACTTAAGGTTATTAAGAATTCCAAATGAAGTACTAATGAAGAGGAAACGTGAATCATGATTTGTGCAAAAAAAGATTGTGGCATTATTTCTATTTTGTAATTCTTCACAATCAACCACCTCCTAAGATTAAAATATGATGGTTTTCCAAACTCTAAAAAAATCTACCTTCCAAATATATTTTCTTGATTTTTTTTTACCTAATTGGAGCATAGATCTATACATTTTTTAATCATTGATAAAATAGAGTAAGCTCCAGAATTGAATAAAACATTTTCATTATAATCCATTTCTTTTTTTTTTTTTTCCCGTCTTTTTCCGTGTCCGGCAACGGATCGCAACCCTCAGTGTTGCGCCCGTACCAGACCGGGACCGGCAACGGGATCGCAACCCTCGGTGCTGCTCCCGCGCCTCGCTCAGCCAGTGAGCGGGAACCGGTCTGTATGTGGGATCCGAACCCTCGGTGGGAGCGCTGCCGCGCTTCCCAAGCGGCGCACTATCCAGTGCGCCACCGGGCCGGCCCCATTATAATCCATTTCTGATTACAGAGTGAAGACCGGTGCTGTTCTTAAGACACCAAGACTTTTGAATTACATAGAGACTAAAACAGCACTAGTGTGATTATATTCATAAAGGAATCATTAAATAATTGATTCCAGTCCCTTTCCTATTTGCACAATCTTGAGTCTCCTCTCTCTCTGCAATACAGTGAAACTCCAACTTCTCAGGAGCCTGTCATTTTCAGAGCAGACCTGACATAGCCTAAAGTTGACCATTTTTTAATTCAAAATTTTGTTTCTCTTCAGTTCCCACTGATACACAGATGTGTACTCATGTATATTGACAGCAAACAGTTCTGATGCATTCTGATCGTTGTTGGCTGCTAATTCTGCCCCAAGATGTTTAGAAATAAGACTGAAAATCCAACTAAATTCAGTTGAATTCATTTTTACCTTGAAACACCAGTGAACTAGGCATTTGCTGAGGCCTGTTATGGGAAATACAAAGTTTCCTTTTTGTTCTTGTGGTGGTTAAAAGCTGAGTCATTGATGGACAGAATCCATAAGAATGTTCAAATGCTATGTGAAATAAATAAGAGTTATTATGATGTCTGAATGGATTAATATGTAACTATACCACTAAACTCCAGAAAAAGGAAATTTTCCCACTTGAAAACTTCTAGTAGAAAGCCACAGTAAACTCTGCAGTCGATTTCAGGTCATCCCAATGTGAACTTTTGGTAGTGGGAGTGCTACTGTACCACATTTTATTACACACAGATTCATAAAGGTTAAAACCTTTTATTTTTGGTGATGGGACACAATAACTAACTACATTGTATATTGACAAAATAAAAATTAAATAAAAAAAAAACCTTTTATAATTGGCTTATACTACAAAGCAGAATACATAAGATCTTTTTTGGTGCTATTTTAAACTCCCAAATTTTATAGCAAAAGTTAGCATATAGTTAGGTTCTATAATATTGATTTTATCATTTATCATTATTAATCTTGTAGTTAACTTTCTTAAGAGACAGAAATAAATCACTGAAACAAAGTTTGGCTTGAGGACAGTCTTTAGCCAGTTCAATTGCATGAATGTTTGGAATGGATCTAGGGATTCTGGGGTACCCACCTGAGTACCATGCCATCACCCCACTGGGCACACACATACTCTGACTTCCAGTAATGGCAAAAGCTGAACATTTCTTACCACTTCCTTTGCTGGGGAAATGACTTAAAGTTTTATAGAATAGAAGGTTGGATTTGCTAGGATGAAGGCTTCTAAAGCAAATCTTAGAAGGAAAAATATTTGAGACAGAAATGTAGTAGCATTTGAATAGTGTGCTGAGCTAAGGTAACCAGAATTTGGGGATTTACATGAGTACAGTACAATTAATTAAGTGTAAATTTTTTTGCCAATAAAAATCAGTCATAAGTCATAAAATGAGTTCAGAGGGAAAGATAAGCTTCGTATTACAGAGAGAAAGCAGAAAGTTATTTTATCTTCGGAATCTCTAAATGATGCCCAGTGGAATCAAAAGTAATAGATGAGGTGGTGCACTAGCTCTAACATGTTTTATAAAATCTGAATAATTCATGGGAACAACAAAAAGGAAACAGAGCATGTTCCAAACTTTTTTTTTAATGTAAAGTTACTTGTATTTTATTAAACTGCATTTCTTAACAGTTAACAACAGTTTGTGTTTAGAGGGCCTTCTGCAAAATGTAGTTTTTATTTTTTTCCTAATGGACACCAGAATTAAGATGATTTCTGTATTTTTAAGAAATTACATATGTACAAATAATCAGTTCTATTATAGATATATTTTTCCAATATTGATGCCACATTTCAGCACACATATATATTTTTGTAATAGTTGGTTTTGTGGGTTTTGTGGAAAAATTTGTTTCCAGGCTGTCAATTATTTTAAAAGCTGTGTGTGTGTGTGTGTGTGTGTGTGTGTGTGTGCGCGTGCGCGCTATACATATTTGTAAATATACATGTGTATGTATACTTATTTATTACTGTTCCCCCTTTTCTTTCATATTTTTGATTGATCCACTTCCTTTTCGTAAATTACTCTGCATTAATGACAGAAAGTACACTGTCATCAGAAATGATCCTTCTCCTCTGTGCTGGTGGAGATTCCCATTCTCCTGACACTGCAATATGAAAACTAGGAGCCATTCCTGAGAGCCCTTTGCTGACCTCACACACTGCTGTGCCCCTCGGTGTCCTTAGGCTTTCCAGCGACAAGTTCACGAGAGCCTGACCCAGCTGGAGCTGATCAATAAGCAGTACCGCCGCCTGGCCAGGGAGAATCGCACGGATTCCGCGTGCAGCCTGAAACAGATGGTTCACGAAGGCAACCAGAGATGGGACAACCTGCAAAAGCGCGTCACCTCCATCTTGCGCAGGCTCAAGGTCTTTATTATGCCTCATCCATAATGTAGAGGCCCAGAGGACAGGGTTGGGCCATTTGAACACCACATTGAGACACAATTTCAGTGGCTTTGTAAGACTGGGATGGCAGGAGGGGTGGGCAGGGGAAAGGATACGGTGGAGGACTGCAGGGTTCTCATGGCTTGTTGAGAAAATGACTTTCCGGAAAAATGCTGGAGTTGGCTGTGCCATCTCAGTATGCTTATGTGGAGTTCTAAATTTTTATTATTTTCTTCTCATGTCCAGCATTTTATTGGCCAGCGTGAGGAGTTTGAGACTGCACGGGACAGCATTCTAGTCTGGCTAACGGAGATGGATCTGCAACTCACTAATATTGAACATTTTTCTGAGTGTGACGTTCAAGCTAAAATAAAGCAACTCAAGGTAATAGATTAGTTATTTTTCAAGTTATCAAGGTGAAGAAAGTCTGAAAAGGAAAGGATTTGTAGCTCCTTTTGTGAAGAACATCATAAGGAACTTCTAAGAGACTCATTCTTAATTTTAAAAAAAATGCAGACGGTATAAAAGATACTAAAAATAAAACAGAGCACTACCCAGAGATAACCACCATTAACATACATACTTTTAATTAATCAAGTCGATTGTCGGAGTATTAGGTATCTTCTTGTTTTTTTCTGATTTGTTTCTAACATCTTCAAATCATTCTTTTGACCCTCCATGTTCCAAAGCAATATAACTTTCCTACACTGGGATTTCATTCATACTGTATTCTACATTCTTAGATGACAAGTTAATTTTAAATGCATTTTGTATTTTTCACTAAATAATTCGAACACAGTGGCTAGCTAGAAATTTAAATAGGAAGGATATACATCAGCCATAAGAATTTCCTAAAAGGAATAGTGTTTAACAAATTGAATAATCTGCAAGGCAGCTTATGAAATTTTCTTTCCAAAGTGTATAGATAGATGGATAGACAGATTTTTTTAAAGAATACTTGTGATGTCCATAACCTTTTGGTTGCTATAATAAAATGAGGCAGTTACCCATAATCATAGATTCTTGGGATGAAAGAAATCATAAAATGGTAAACGCGCTATTCTGCCCAACCCCTCCCTCCCTTTGTACCCCAACTATCCCCTTCCACATCCCCCCCAACCACCACTCTCCCAAGTCATTTCACAGGTAAATCAGTATTTAAATTCTTCAACAGGAGATTTCTACCAAGTGGTAGTTGCATCTTCTCTGTTGGACTCTGGCAGGATCATAGAACTCATTACTACACTCTCTTCTCTTCTAACAGCCTCTTTCATCATGGGACAGTTTCGACTCTCCTAGAACTTACTCTCATACTGAAGTAAAACTCATCCCTTGAAACTTGGCCCCAGTGATTTAACTCATTTGCACCATATAGAAGGAGCCTAAATAATCCTCCCAGAAGTCCTTGTTTTTCAAATCATTATAACTTTACCTGCTTATGTCCTGAAACAAACAAACGAGTCATCTTCTCTTAGTCGTGTCTGCCATAGGATCAGGATATCTAAAATTTAAGTGTTCGGAATATTTCTTTAAAATGTTAAATTTATTTCAGCGGCAACGTATTCATTGCCATTGCTTCATCTGAGATAACCAGTGCGAAGAGCTTTGTGATGTTTGTGTATTTTTTCCTGTTATTCTCTACCCACATTGTTGGTGGTGGTGAATTTTATTAATCCAAGGTTTTTTTCTGATCATGGAATTCTCATGATTCCATGTCTGACTCCTGCTCTGGCTTACAATTTTTATGTTTTACTTTAGAAAGTAATACCCTCTTGGCTTGTCATTGTATATGGTAAATCAAATATCCCCCACATGCTTTTTCTAATGAAAGGAGAAATACGTATCTAACGATTATTTTTTATCAATGTGAGCAATAAAAAAATGACATGAGATTTGTGCTCCCTAGGCCTTCCAGCAGGAAATTTCATTGAACCACAGTAAGATTGAGCAGATAATTGCCCAAGGAGAGCAGCTGATCGAAAAGAACGAGCCTTTGGATGCGGCAGTCATCGAGGAAGAGCTGGATGAGCTCCGACGTTACTGCCAGGAGGTCTTCGGGCGCGTGGAAAGATACCATAAGAAACTGATCCGCCTGCCTGTACGTAACATTTATTTTTTCATTGCCCTTAAATCTAAAGAGAATTCCTGATGTGGGGTTAAGTAGCATTGGATAGTGGGTAAGAGCCCAGACACTGGAGCCAGAATGCCTGGGTTCAAGTCCTAGCCTTGACACGTGTTGGCTCTGTGACCTTGGTCAAGTTACTTTACCTTTCTTGCCTCAGTTTCCTCAACTGTAAAACTACTGGTTAAATAACAGCAGCTACCTTGTGGAAGAAGATTGCTTTGAGCATTAGATGAGTTAATATGAATAAAGAATTTAGAAGAATGCTTGGCATATATTGGCTGTGGAAGATAAGTCTCTAGAAGAAATAAGAAGATAAAAGTGAGCAATGTAGACAGTTGTTCAGTTGATGAGGTTGTGTTTAGGTGAATTGTTTTCTTCCATTTTACTAATTGCTATCACAATCACATCTCATCTATAGAACTGTTATTATTAGAATATTTGGAATCTTCTGTGATAAAATATACTTTATGTCTGGAATATAAGGTAAAAAGGATAAGCTAAGTCTTCATTAATAATTTCCTCTTGTTCTTAATATGTGCCGTTGTGCACCTGTTGTTTTGCAGGCACACTGTTAGGCTTCCTTTATTTATATTATCTTATTTAATCGTATATCAATTCCTTGAAGTAGGTTTTAATATTATTCCCATTTTACTGTAATAAAACTGAGGCTTATAGAGATTAATTTATAAGATGTTCTTTAAAAGTGATCAGGAGATTCTTATTTATTAGTCGATAGGAAGTTAAAACTATCCCCACATGGTAGGCAGGTGGCCCAGCTAATCACTGAGATTTGCTAGAGGAACACCCATATCAGTCAGGGGGGAGTCTGACCCTGCAGTCACACAGCTGGCTTGTCTTCACTTCCAGCTGCCTGACGAGGAGCCCGACCTCTCTGACAAGGAGCTGGAGCTAGGTGACTCTACGGCCCTCTCGGACCTGCGCTGGCATGACCCATCTGCAGACAGCGTCCTGTCCCCCCAGCCGTCCTCCAACCCCTCCCTCTCACTGGCCCAGCGGTCTGGAAGAGACACCCCAGCCAGCGTGGATTCCATCCCCCTGGAGTGGGATCATGACTATGACCTCAGCCGTGACCTGGAGTCTGCAGTGTCCAGAACTCTGCCTTCTGAGGACGAGGAGGGTCAAGAAGACAAAGATTTCTACCTGCAGGGTGCTGTTGGCTTATCAGGTAGGAAAGAGCCTTTCCTGCATGCCAGCTTGAAGGAAAATAAAAGGGAGTTAATATTGTACTGGAGACATACAAGCTATCCAGAATCAGTTTTCTTCTTTCTCCCATTAGGGGAATTGCACTTAATTAAACAATTAGATATGAATGTGATTATCAAATACAAATATTGGCATGGCCATTGGTTTACTCCACATGTACATGTATTTCTGGTACTAGGTGGCAAGCACTTTGCTAAGTACAGAAGATACATAGTTCCTTTTCTTCTCAAAATGTTGTAGAACGAACTCAGCAAGAAAGGCTCCAGATGCTTGGAAGGTAGGAGAGTCAGGTTTATTACACGTGGGACCCAGGTGAACTCTTGTTCTGAAATCCTGGGACCATGAACATGAGTTTGACAGGGTTTTTATAGGCCACAAACTTAGGTTTAACATATATCTTAGACAAACAGCTGTTGGTTTTAGTTTCTTCTCACCCATGTGACAGGCAAAATTAGAAATGCAAGCAGGGCAGGCTAGCGAGATTACAGAAGCAGAAATGCCTGGAGGCAGTTGCTTATTAACTAGGTGAAGTTCGGGGCTCTGGGAGATAAACACATTTAGTTACAGAGGCATTTTAGTCAAAATTTTTATTTTTGAATTCTCTCATCAAAAGAGCTTACGCTCTAGTGTAGAACACAAACAAATATATAAGAAATGACCAGGTGAGCTGTTTGGTGCTGGGATAGCAAGGTACATGGTGGCCTGCAGGTCAAGCACAACCACAGGGCAGCTAACCTGGAGGTATGAAGACAGGCTTCAAGGGGGAAACTTTTGAGCTGAGCACAGGATAAATAGTAGTCAATCAGGTGGATGCAGCAATGTTCAGAGGGAAAAAGGTGAGGAAGTCATTCCAGCCTTGAGATTAGCCGCGGTGCTTGTGGTCTTCTGAATTTTGTCCAGAATGACAGGACTGTTGGATGAGTGGCATGGAGTGGACAAAGTAGAGGCTGGACAGGCAAACAAGGACCTGGTCATAAAGCAGCCTGTTCACCCTGGAAAGGAGCTTGGCTCTTCTCATACAGGTGATAAGGAGCCACAGCAGGGTCTAAGGAAGGGAGGTGATGCGATCGGATGCACGTTTTCATGTTGTATCTGTCTAGATTCCATAGGGAGGAGGGCACATTCTGTAGGGAGAAAGAGAGTCCAAATGGAAATGTTTTCTACTCCAGGACAGAGACAGGATGGGGGCTGAGCTAAGGAAGCAGCACTGGGAACAGAGAGAGTGGAAGAGAGGTGAGAAATCCCAGGCAGAAGACTGATGAGTGATTGAGTCAGGGCAGAGGCAAGTTTCTGGTTTGGGCATCTTGGTGGAAGGTGCAGGTGTTCCTGGGCCCTGAGGAACACAGGAGAGACAGGACAGTGTGGGTACAGCTGGGCGGGGGTGTCAGGGGGCGAGACAGGGGCAGGGGATGAGTTTGGTTGTGCACATCCTGATTTTGAGACACTTGTAGAATATCCAAATGCAAAAATCCAGTAACAGTTGCATGGGTCTGAAGTTCAGCACCTGGAAATACAGATTAGGTAGTTTTTCACATGTAAATTTAATTGTCCCTGAGTGAATGGAGGAAATCACACAGGAAGTGTGCCTAAAGGGAAAGAAAAAGAACAAAAACCCCAAACAGCACATGGAGTGAGGGGATGGAAAGAGGAAGTGGAACATTGTAAGGAAAATAGAGTAAATAATTGGAGGCCGATTGGTGGCACTTGTAAATGCATCTCATACATTCTCTAAAAGGTCATCATCTGTGGGTATTTCTGCTTGTTTACGATGGTTCACATCTGGATTCCCAAGCATATGACAATTCTAAAAATAAAATAATTTCTCTCATTTCTATTTGCCTTTACAGCAGAACCCACTAGTTAGGCATTTGGCATCTAAAGCAGCGCTGCCCAACAGGTGTCCACCAGCCACATGGGACTCCCGAGTCCTGAAATGTGACTGTGCAAATTGAGGTTGGCCGGACGTGGAAAATGCACTTATAAGAATACATTTATTTCGAAGACTTAGTTCAAAGCAAAAACGTAAAATATTAATAATATTTCTGTTGACATTATAATTTGGATATATTGGCTTAGTAAAATATAGTTTTAAAATTAATTTCCTCTGTTTCTTATTATTTTTCAAATGTTAACTATTAAATCTTTAAAATGCCATCTGTGGTTCACACAGAAATACATGGGACAGCGCTACTGTAGAATATGACTGTCTGGATTGCAATTCCAGTTCTGCCACTTTATAGCTGTTTAAACTTAAATAAGTAACTTAATTCCTCTGGACCTCAGTTTTCTCAATTATAAAATGGGAATAACATTCCCAGGAGCCCTGTAGGGTTTCTGTGAGTATATATGAGTGCTTAGATCAGTGTCTGGCTCGTAAAACGCCCTCCATCAATGTGAGCTCTCATCAGGATTCACGTCAGGAAAGCTTTGGTGAGCACGCACACCCCTCTGTATGCTCAGGAGCTTTCTGTCTAGAATGACTAACTTCCTTTTTCTTCCCTAGGAGAGTTATTTTCCTGCCACAAAGGAGTCAAGGTTTCCAGAATTTAGCTGTCAACTTAGACTGTGCTCTTTTTGCAGATGTAATGATCCCCGAAAGCCCTGAGGCCTATGTAAAACTCACAGAAAATGCAATCAGAAATACCTCTGGTAGGCACAAAAAGCCGGAGCAAGCCTCCCTCCCTCACCTGTAACAAGCCTCCTCTCAGCACACGCACTGTATCTCTCACAGCTTTGTGGCTCTAGCATGTTAAGGCACAACCTTCCTCTCTTACTGCTGTATTAGGAAAAAGACAGCTGGTTGATGAACACCAAGAATGAGATTTCAGTAATCAAGTGAAATGAAATTTCTCAAGTTTTTTAATAGTCAGACCAACCTTAGACCTCTGTTGCCCATTAACAGCAGAAACTACGAGACGGAGAGCCCAGTGTGCCCTTGTGTTCTACTTGGTTGTGGTAATGCCAGCTTCGCAGGGTTGGGGATCTGCCTCTGGCTGGGGAGTCAGGGCACAGGCTCTGGTCCAAGTCCATCAGCCTGAGCAAGTGGCCTTGGGCACACACACCACTTTGTCCTCCTATTCTCACGGTTGCATATAAGAGGTGAGACCAGATTTCACCTCTAAAAAATATGTTTCTTTCTTTTTTTTTGACTGCTGGCTGGTACAGAGATCCAAACCCTTGACCTTGGTGTTATAGCACTGCACTCTAACCAACTGAGCTAACCAGCCAGCCTGATATATAATTTTAATTTAAGAAATCTTATAAAAAATTTGAAATGAAAAATATATTCCACAGTATCTTGAACCTTAGAATTCCCTCTAAGGACAGAACTATTCCTGAAACATGAAGAATTAAAGAAAGAAAAATGCAACCAGTTTTACCCAGTTTTGCACTAGGTAAACTATAGTTCAGGGTCTGTGATTTGGGGGAGGGTGGCGAGTAGTTTGAACATGGTGGTAGGATATTAATTTACTCTTTAGTTTTTGCAGAAAAGCAAAGTAGCATGATGGAGAGGACGATTGCCTAGGTCCTTCCGAGTGAGAGACCTCTCCAGGTGTACTTAGAAGGCCTTTTAAAAAAAAATTAATTAAGCTTACTAATATTTATTCTGCTTTCACCTTGTATTAGCTCCACTCTGATGATCAGTGTTTTTTTAGTTCAGTTCAAGGACTGAAACACACACACACACACACACACACACACACACAATAATTTTGCAAAGAAGTATTAAAACTCTGAGAGGAGAATGAGCCGGGAGTCCCAGGCTATGAGTAAGAGCCTGCCCGGGTGGAAATGCTAAATCCCTAGCCTTTTCCTGGTTTTGTTTGAGATATTAAATAAAAGCAAGTCACTGCGAGTTTGATATCTCTGTACATATCTATTCTGAGCTAGTCTTTTCTTGGTGAACTTGAACTCCTGCCTTAAGTGAATGATACAGACACCTGGGCCTTCAGTGGCACTGCCTTCTCCTGAAGTGCACAAAGAAAATCAGAGGGCAGATACTCCTCTGCTCATTAAGTGCCTGAAGAAGGAGTACTAACTGCCTCCTAGTTACTGGGGAACAGTAGATCCCGCTTCAGATTCTTAGCAAGGCCTTCCACAATTTACAGCATTCAGATGATCGGCTGGCAGAGGTTGCAGACACACAAGGCTGTTCCGAGCCGATTGCTGGGCCCTTTTGCAGTGTCCAGTCTGCTAGGACTCTTAGTGAAGCACTTTCATTAGTTTGGCCATTTAAATGTCTAACCCATCTGCACGATAGTACTAAATTGGCTTTATAATTACCCACACACATGCCATGTCTATGTTGCCATAACTGAAATTATTTTGAAACTTCTCCATGAATATCAAGCTTGAAATAATTCAAACAGCATGGTCCATAAAGATTCTTATGGTTGACACTGCAGGGGATCACAGTGCCTTAGAGTCGCAGCTCCAACAACTGGATAGAGCCCTGGGTGACAGCCGCTTTCAGATCCAGCAAACCGAAAATATCATCCGCAGCAAAACTCCCACAGGGCCAGAGCTGGAATCCAGCTACAAAGGCTATGTAAGTATCCTGACCATCCTGATCCTGACCTGTGCCTGGAAGTCACAGTTGTGTGACAAAGAACGGTTCGTCTGTAGCATGAGGGCTTCATGAGGCCTCCACACCCCAGGCTGCAAAACAAAGCCTTGTGATAAGTGACGGTTTGGGAAGAACTGCTCTGTTTTCAGGCCCATGAGTCTATTGTAATGACCAGCCTGTTCTTTTACACTGAGCACTTAGTAAGATCCCTTTAACTGAAAGCAACAAAATGCTTTGGCTCCCAAAAGTCGTTAGGCATTTTTCCAAATTCAACTAATAAGTTTTGGACCAAGGTTATCCTTGGAGCAGCAGATTTTAGCTAATAGATTACTAACATGGAATTTTGTACTTCTCTTCCTGGGTTTATTGATTCACTTAAAGAGTGAAGGAATATCTTTATCCTCTGTTCCTAATATGCTCGGTCTGGAGAAAACTATTCCAACAAGAGAGATTTGAGAAAAAGACAGCAAGGGAATTATGTGTATTACCAGTTTTACTTATGCAGCTGTTAGCTATACATGATAAAGTCTACCGTAACTTTCTTTGCCTTGCTCAAGTCACTGACTAAATAATTTTTTTCCCAGAGAACTACCTGTTTTCCTACATATACTTTAAGAAAATTTTAAAGAAAATCTCTCCTCTGCTTCGTATCTTCTTTCACATCCAAAGGACTGCTTAGTAAATGGAAAGAAAAATTAATTTTCTGGGTCTAATCACAACTCACTTGTACCACTTTTGAAGCCAGGGAAGAAAACTGTTCTAGCTATCAGTGTTGATTTTAATATTCACACAATTAGAGAACAGTAATCAATCATGAATTTATTTTCTGTCCAGCTTGGCCTATTATACCAACTTCTATTATAGTGAAACCTCTTTTTAAAAGTATAATTTAGTTTTATAGTGACCATACTGACATCACTGAGATTACACTTAACCTCAATCAGAAGTAATCAAGGAAACTTAATTGCACTGTGATTTGTTAAAGGCTTTCAAAGATAACTCTATGGTCAGTATAGCAGGAGTGCCTTGGAATGATTTGTTCTTTTAATCTTTGAATACTGTACATAATATTAAAAATGGATTTGGAAGCTTTTTCTTTGATTTTAGAATTTAGTCCTTTGATACCTATTAAACAGTGCTTAAATTTTTTCATAAAACAGCTGGCTTTAATATTGCTTTATACTTTTTAGTACATTAATTATTTAATGCAAAAATGTTCCTGTGAGATTTGAAGTAATATTATGCTTCCAAAATTTCAGTTTAAGAACGAGAAAGAGGGAGCAGTCTGCCAAAAATGATATATTGCATTGCTGTCTGACAGCCCTGAGTTTTAAACCCCAGATTAGTTTAATCTGTTTTGATTTATGAACTTAAAAAGAAATTTTGAGGTCTTCTCATGCAAAATGATACATGTAA